TTGTTCTTTTTTTTCTTTTTTCCAAGCTTATTTTGACTCTTCTGGGCCCCTTATGTTGCTTATGAATTATAAGACCAACTTGTCAGAAGACCAACTACAGAAGCAATGAGGTTTTCATAGGGACTCCATTGACTCTATAGGTTAGTTAGGGAAGTATTGTCATTGTAGCAATGACAAATCTTCAAATCCTGCAGCATAGGCTGTCTTTCCATTTACTTATCTCCTTTTTAGTATGCCTTATAGTTTACAGTATATAGCACTTCATTTTACTTTTAAATTTACTTCTCAATACATAAACATTTCCCCCTCTCACTTTTTGTAGTGCTACATTCTGGGAAAACACTGCAACACCGACCCACATTCTCTCTTTATTTCTTTCTGAAGATTTGTCTTGTGTGTTTGCCAGCATGTGTGTCTGTTCACCGTGTGCATGTCTGGTGCCCAAAGAGGGCAGAAAACCTAGAACTGGAGTTACAGTGAAATACCATGTGGATGCTGGGATTGAATCTAACAAATTCTCTTAACCACTGAGCCAGCTCTCTAACCCCTGTCTCTCCATTTTCTTTTTTGAGGTAGATAAGCCTTTTTTTTTTTTTGTTGTTTGTTTGTTTTTTTTTTTTTTTTGTTTTTTGAGACCGGATTTCTCAGTAGCTACGGAGCCAGTCATGGAACTGTAGACCTCATAGAGATCCGCCTGCCTCCGCCTCCCGAGTGCTGGGATTAAAGGTGTGCACCACCATGGCCCAGCAATCTTACTATGTTGACCAGACTGGCCTGGATTGCCACATATCTCTTATTTGTCTCACACTTGTGAGCTTCCTGCCTCAACTTCCCTGTTATTATTGGGTAGCTGGTGGTCCTTGCAGAAAACAAAACTCGGGCTATAAATGGTACCCAACATGGGATGCCATATATGGGAAGATTTTTTCTGTCCTGCCTGCCAGCTCCCAAGTAACCACGTGGAGAGAGACTTCTTATTAATTATGAAAGCTCGGCCAATAGCTTAGGCTTGTTTCTAACTACCTCATTACTTAACCCATTTCTATTAATTTACTTTCTGCCTTGTGGCTTTATTACCTCATCTCCATAGTGCCCATCTTGCTTGCTCTGCATCTCATGGTGTCTCCACCCTTCTTCTTCTTCCCAGCATCCTCTGTGCCTAGAAATCCTGCCTAGCTATTGGCCATTCAACCTTTTATTAAACCAGTCAGAGTGGCATACCTTTACACAGTGTATCGAATATCTTGCAACAGGTATGCATCAGGACTCCTGGCCGCCATTTGTCTGTTTCTTAGTTCCCAGGGACAGTCTGGTATTCATGACAACCTGCCCTCGATACTATTCAATTTCACTAAAGAACATAGAAATCTTAAAAAAAATAAATAAATAAAAGTTTTTCTTGATTCTTGCTTTAACTTTTTCTTTCAAATGACTAGTGTTATTTTTTTTGTCTACTCATATTTGTGACTAGGGGTCTAGACTACCAAGCATTGCTAGTTGGCAACACATCTGGAATTAGACAGATCACTATTCAGTTCTCCATGGCGGTGTTAACTGCTGAAAACAATGGTATTAGCTTAGAAGGTGGATTTGTTTTCTTGCAACAAATAAACTTTGTGTAGAAACTTGTGTCTTTCTCAGAGGAGGCTGACTGTTATGATGGTGGGCAGGGATGGGGAGTCAGCAAGCTTGAGTCAGGTGAAGTGAGACGGGAGAAGAATGAAGCAAAGAAATAAGGTTAGGATGTAGTGGGATTTCATTTGTATTTTAATAAATGAAGCTTGCCTGAAGAACAGAACGCCAAACAGCCACACTGGTCAATTGTGTTTGAAATTTTGCCAGTTAGCAAACTTTGGGTCTGACTGACGAAAAGCACTCGTATCTCCGTGGAAGATCAGCTTTCAGAGAAATCAAGAAAATTGTAAAAGATGCCTGAAGCCTCCAATCCTGCATCAATAATGGGCTGTGAAAACTTCAGCGTCTCCCAAGACTGCTTGCTTTCTAATGCCGACCTCTGGGTGACCACAGAGGGTAAGGAACGAGGAAGGATAGTCCAGAAGGTGGTGCTAAGGACCAAAGAAACTAACGCAAAGGCGGGCTTCTCCTGGGAGCAGGACCAGGTTGTCATTCCAGAACTTGCCCTGTGGTGAAGCAAAGGGTTTTTACAGCAAACATTTGTAAATGTTCTATCATTTCTGTGGACTCTCCTGAAGCATAAGACATTTGGAAATCATTAGGAAGTAGATGAGAGAGTGGAAGAATTCAAAGACAATGACAGAAGAAATGTTTCGTGGAGTTCTAGGAGCTAATGCTTCATCTCAGGCAGCCACTCCCTGAAGCATGGACTATTTTACACAGGGATGCTGTGAGAGTCAAGTAATCTGACATAATAGTAGCACTTTTATTACTTACTTTTTGTTTTTTGAGACAGGGTTTCTTTGTGTAACTGTTTTGGCTGTCCTGGAACTCGATTTGTACAGTAGGCCGGCCTCAAACTCATAGAGATCTACCTGCCTTTGCCTCCCAAGAGCAAAGCGATTAAAGGCATGCACCACCACGTTTTTTGTTTGTTTGTTTTTGTTTTTTGTTTTTGGATACAGGATCTCTCTGTGTAGCCCTGACTGTTCTGGAACTAGCTCTTTAGACCATATTGGCCTCGAACTCACAGAAATCCACCTGCTTCTGCCTCCTGAGTGTTGGAATTAAAGGCATACTCCACCACTGGCTGGTTTTATCATTAACTTTTAACCTTGTTTAATGATTTGTTTAAACTTCATCTTGTTTAATGATGAAGCCCACCTAGTACTATCAGTGCGTTAAGCCAGCTGATTTTCAGTAGGAGTTCAATAAATATTTGTTGAACTATGGAAGAGTGAATACCAGAATCCTGTATCAGACGAAGGTCCTTGAACTGTGACATTCTTGTAGAGTTTAGGGTGACTGACTAAACTGAGTGGAGTGTGCGTTGTGGTTGCACTTTCAGATCGTGTGTTAATGGACGGTGTTCCTCTTCCTCAATTCCACAGGCTTTGTCAAGGCTCAAAAGGACCGACTTTCCCAAAGTTTTCCATTTGCTTTGACTATTTCTTGTGACTTTTTGTTGTTGAGACAGGCAACTTGCTACGCAGCCAGGTCAGTCTGAAGCTCATTATGTAGCTCAGGCTTGCCTGAAACTTACAGTCTTGATTCAGCCTCCTGAGTGCTTGAATTCTAGACATGTACAACTGAAGGCGTTTTTTTTTCTGTTTAACTTTGTATGACATAACTTGGTCTTTCATGATCCTGCGTTTCCCACACATGTGATTGTTTCTTTTTTTAATGTAATAAATTAAACTGCCAACCATTTGCACCTTCTATGTTGTGGTTATTTAGGAACACTGATTTTATTTAAGTCTGTAAAATGTACAAGACAATCTGAGCTGCAAACACATCTCTTCCTTCACAACTCATACTGACCCATGCTTTGAGTTGTCCCTGGTCCTCTGGCAATTCCTTATGCCACAAGAAGAGGAAAAAAGGGAAAATTATTTTGGCTTGAGAGGAAAGTTTAAAAAGCAAGACAAATGTGTTTAGAAATTATGCTGGTTTAGTAAAGTGGTGGTATTAGATTCACCTTCAGTACCACGCTGTCAACCCTGAGATCATACATGGAGGCAACATTATATAGACTGAGGAAGTTTTAGTTATGTGTTTAGTACTAGTACTCATGTATCTATGCAACAGCAGTTAAAAAGAGGGCATGAATTTGAGATAGAGAAAGTGTGTGCAAGAAAAGAAAAGAAAGGAGTGGAAGATTTAATTTAAAAAATAACAAACCATTAAAAAGTAAGAGTGCTGACTTATGGATCATATGTGATACAGTTTAACATTGTCTTTCAACTATGATTGAGAATGATACCACAATGCTTGACAACAATGTCAACATACCTACTGGCGGCTTATCGGGGCTGCAGTCTCAAAGGCATGAAAATGGCTCAATCAACTTTTCTGTGTTTTGATGCTTCAACTCATCCAGGATGAAGCTGCTTTTACTGGAAGGTGTAGTCATGATGTCTCCGGCAACAGTTTCAAAAGTTCAAGAAAATGAGAGTCAGCTTTGAATACAAGAGGCCATGAACTGTGAAAATTGGAGCGACATCTGTCACTAATCGGCCACAGAATCCCTCCAGAATTTTTGTCCTTGTAGTAACCTTTAAGGACCAGGGCCCGCTGGAAGTGGCTGCCCTCAGTGGAACTTCCCTGTGGTCTTTCTTTGTAGGAGGTTTTGCAGGAGCAGGGCAAGCCTGAAGGTCTGGGAACCACAGCAGGAGAGTGGGGGGCCAGTGTCTTGGAACTCCAGGGAGTGCTCATCAGAGAGGTACAGACATATGTTCTGGCTTGGAACCCACTTGGAGTGAGTTTGGTTTTGTCTGTGTCCCGTTATCCGCCTCATGCAAAAGGACAAGGGTTTTTGACCAATCACTGCCCATGCAAAGAGGCTTTAATCGTTATCTAGTGACAAAGAAGTCACACAGTGACTTGAAAGCACTCTGAATGAACTAGGATCCAGAAAAACAAAACAAAACAACAACAACAACAACAAAAAAAAAAAAACAAAAAACAACTGTGCTTCTTGGTCACACTCTTCAGCAGCACTAGGGGGCAATCCTTCCTCCCAGAAGACCCCCAGCTCGTTACCTCCTTACCCAGAGTGGCCACACACACCAAATTTGCGCTAAAGTTTGCAAAGCCAGGCATGAAGACTGCGCGAAGGACTCCACAGCACACGTGGGAGCGCATTTGGCACCGTGCACTTCCGACCATCTAGGGCCCCGAAGGCTCGGAGGCCCAAAAGGACACCGGGTGCTCAGGCCAGGAGGGTCCAGTGAGGAGGAGGGAGAGCGGGAGGGGCAGCACCTGAGGAATCGGCTGCAGCGCCTCGCTCCGCCCCCGGGAACTGAGCCCGCGGCCTGTGGCAGAGACGCCAGCCACCGGTGGCGCTAGCACCTCGGAGCAGAGCGCAGCGCGGAGCCGCCCGGGGCTGCAGAGACCACCCGGGCCCTCTGCCCTTGCTCCCGTCGGGGCCAGGTGAGCTGCTGCCCGGACTCGCGGGTACTGGGAGGCGAGGGCACTCGGTGGCGACCAAGGCCTGTCCTCTGGCGGGCTGGACACCTTGCAGGCTCAGGGCAGCGTCGCCTGGACTTTCTTCTGACGACCTAGGAGGCGGCGCGGGAGTGTGGAGTGAGTCGTGCGGCCGGGCAGGCGCCTGTGCCAGCAGGAAACCCTACCCCGGTCCCTGTCCCCGGCTGCCTAGCTTCGCCGCCCGCGGTCACAGGCCTGTCACCCCGGCTCCGCTGCTGCCTTTGTGGCGGGAGGGAGGTGGCCGGTGAGCTGCAGGGCAAGGGAGGCTGCGGCGAGGGGGTGCGTCCCGGCCGCTCCCCAAGCACGAGGGGACGGCTAGCGGGTCCCCAGCACTGGGCGGACGGCTTGTAGCAAGCCGGGGAGGTGTCCGCGCAGAGGATGGGTAGAGTTGGGCTTGGGAAAGTTGAGAGTGGTCAGACGTGGTCAGGCGTTTGCTGGGGTCCACGCCAAATGTCACTTTGTCACACGTGCGTCTTCCGGTCATTATTTTCATTTCTCTACGAGCTTCTTCCGAACTGCTCTTATTCTGAATGAGACACAAAGGGTTGCGTTGACAGCTGACCGTGAAAATAGACAGCAAGGTGAGGTGTGCCCTGATCAGGGAGGGTGAAGGTGGGCGGTGTGTTAAATCGGTGGATTCCTGGAGTCCTCCTGCGTTTCATTAAAAGGAGATTATCTGTATAGGTTCACCGCTTGAGTTTCTCATTGAAGCCAAGCCCAGGAAACGTGCAGGATAGGGTTCTGTGCCGGAAGGCTGCTTCGACAACTGAGTCGTATTCCTCTCTTTTCTAGAAACCCTATCCCAGAACCGTGTTCCTGGCTAAAATAAAAAACAAATTTTGATTTCTACTTTTGAAACCGTGAGATTCTCCATCCCGCCTCCCTTAAGAAATCCTCCTCAAGTCCTGTTTCAAAAGAGCCTTTGCAATTGGAGGCAGTTCAAAAGAGGTTGACTGAATTTCTCACTTAAAAACCGCTCGCTCCTCTGCCGTGTTCTGGTAAAGCATGAAATTCTGCTTTCGTTTAGTCACTGCTGTGATTATTTTTTCCTTTCTGAAAACTTTGGTGGAAATGCAATATGGAAAACTCACTAAAAAGAGAAAACTTAAAAATAATATACTCGCTGAAATAATAATAAAGTTACATGCATATAAGTATGAATTTTAAAAGGAAATGTAAACTTTAAAAATACTGAGAACTAAATAGAAATTAGGAAACAATTTCAAGCAACATCAAAGAGTATACAGTGGAAATTAAACTCTTCCTTCCATAACTTCTCTATGAGGTAGAGTTTGCCAATTTATATGTATAAATTTCTGTTAAAATGAAAATGTTATGGAAATAGAGGAGGAGAGAAATGGAATATAAGATTGCTCACATCTAGATGGATATGCATATTAATGATAACAATTACCAATTAGAGGTCCTCTTGTGTTGACATAAAGTCTTATCTGGTGGTGGATACTTATTACCTTGACAATTGGTTAGAAAGCTAAGTCTTGGAAGGAGTGTAAGTGCAAAAAGCAGGGCACCTTTTCTTCATGCTGGCTTTGTGACCTTTATCTCCCTCCACCTTGAACCTCTAGGAAGCAGAGCAAACAGAAGTTACTTTGTTCACCACAATTTTTTCTCTGAAAACACCAAGTAAACTTTTGTGTTCTCCCATTGACATAAGATAAATAACAACATTTAAAGGGTGAGATACAGCTGAGAAATAGGGTGCTTGCTTGGTCTGAGTCCTTAGGCTGGGTCTCCTCACACCACACACAGGCACATACACACTCTAAAGACAGATGTCACCAGGGATATGGAGGCTGAGTTTAAGATTTCTTTACCTCAGATAGGCCATACTTTCCTTGGGAAGGCTTTCCTGCTCCTGTCCCCTTAGTTAAATAAAGAAACTGCTACATGGTTTTTCCAGGGTCCTTCTGACTCTTCAGTTCTACCGTCCAAGTCTATTGTCTGAAGTTCTAAGTTCTCTTGGCTCCTAAGCTCTAGTAAAGGAGTCAAGGTGCTCTAAGCCTAGCTAAGAATAGCCCGTTGGACTGTAGATAACGAAACAGTGGAATGATAAGGATTTTCTGGAGGAAGACTCAGAAAGGAGAGCTAGAGATGCTTGAAGTGGGTTTCTGGAACGTCTGCTGTTGCTGTTGGTGGAGGCTGACTCTGGGGCTGAGTGGACTTTGCATGTCACCTTGGAGAGAGATTTCTCTTCACAATTCATGGTGCTATTTTAAGGAAAACCACTCTTCTAAGATAGTTACTTTTCTTTTTGCTAAAGTGGAAGCCCATTTACCTCAAAGAGTCTTGACAATTTAATTAGCAACTCTCAAGAATATTTACACTACAGATACTCCTTACAGCTATGATATTTTGTTACTATGTAAGTATACACTCATATTCTTAGCAGGAAAATTTTCTGATCACCATGAAAGACCTCAGTTAAGAGATTTAAAATATATACTGCAGGTAGTAATTGCCAAAATCGTTGCTATTAAGATGAAGGTCTATTCTACAAATGAATTACAGAGAAATCTTTAAAATCTTAAAAGTGCTTGATTGGTATGCTAAAATTATAAATTAGAAGAATATGTTTGTAAAGACAGTTAAATAACCTTGATTTACTAACAAAACTCCCCCATAACTTAAGTAACAAGAACAAAATTATTCTAAAATGGCAGTAGCCATCTCAGTTTCTTCCAAGTCTTGATGTGTACACAGATCTTTTTATAGATGACTTATGTTACGGATAAATTTTAATCTGGATTTTTATAAACATTTAAAAACAGTTTCATTATTTATAATAATTTTGTAAATTTTTATGCAACACATGCCCCATAATTAATGTTCTCTTTGGAGATTTTAAAGTAACTAAAAAATATGAGCATCCTGATGAATGTAAACACTCTCCCTCTTTCCCTCTCAGTCTTCCCTACTTTTCCCTCTCTTTTTTTCCCTTCTCAACACACTTAGGGTTTTTTTTCAGTGTGGTTGTAAATGGGTGGATTCAAAGTTAGAAATTCTGGGTTCAAACCTAGCTATAACATATAATGGGAATGCTGATCAAGTAGCTTATTTTCTAGTCATTTAGCTTTCTAATCTATAAAACGGGTTATAATGGTAGTTCTCTAAAAGGTTAAAATAAAAAAAAAAGAAAATGCCTGTGAATGTTCCCCCCTTTTATTGATAAAGTTTCAAATTTCTGATGATTTGTAGCAATTAAATTATTAGCGTTTGGTCAGAGTTTGCACTGATTATATGATGAATGTATAGAAGCCAGTTACATCTGTGAAGAGTGCTTAAGTCTTTCAAGATAGCCTTTTTCAGATCAATTATAGGTTTCTTTTTTCTGTTTTCATCCTATGCTTACCAACTATTATGGGTTTAATCTTGGGAAAGTTGCTATTAAACTTAATGTCTAATATCATATATATATAATTAAAGTGAAAAAACAGTACCCTACTTTTCTTTGAAGGGTTGTTTTATAAGTAGTGAAATTTTGATCACAATTTATGGTCTTTTTTTCTTTCAATTAGAAATACTTCTAAAAAATCAGACCAAGAAAATGTACGACCGAATTGGGTTATCTTTAGGCAAGAGACAGACTGGAGTTCTTATGTAGTCAAGGTAGCTCTTGTAAGTTCTGGAGCGCCCCCAGCCCCCACACGCTGCTCTCTGTGCCCTGAGCTCCAGGAGGGTTCTATTGTGCACTCTTCCTTTTCCCTCACTCCTCCGAGTCCAGATGTGAGGTTGCATAATGACTTCAACTCAGCTCCGTGTTTGCCCCACCATACACTCTCAGAGCATGGTTTCTGTCCTGTCTATACATGGCAAAGCAGAGAGAGAACTCAGTGTCTTTTCCTTGTACTTTGTCTGTGTTCAGTAGTCCCTCCAGCAGACGCAATGTGTGCTGCAGGGAATCATGTCTTGGACACGGTCTGTTTTTATGGTACCAGTTTGGAAGCAGAACTACTGCCTGTGTTGATGTGTTTCTGTTTAGAAGGTTAGGATACTTTTTTGTTTTGATTCTTCTAACCTCTTGTGTGAGGGAATTTCTTGGTTTTTGTTCTGGAAAGTGGGGTTAACAATTACTGCTTTAGTTACTGACTTTTTGCATAGGATTTCTGTAAAGACATGAGAAAATAAATGTGGACTTGATTTTAGGGGAAAAAAGGCCCACACATCAGTACTAGGTTGTCAAAATTATATACCATTACAACACTTTTAGGAGTGTATAACACTCCTTGTAGGCTTTGAGAAAACCTGATCTACTGAGTGAACCCGGAGTTAGGTGTGGAGTCTAACGGTGCACCCTGAGCTACTGAGTGAGCCTGGAGTTAGGTGCGGAGTCTAACAGTGCACCCTGAGCTACTGAGTAGAAGCTCTGGGAAGCAAAGTTACCAATCTGCCTTTTAACAATCCATATAATGCTGGGTGACTATTCTAGGGAGAAAGGAACTTCAACACTCATAAAAAGTGTTCTATGAGCTAAATATTAGTTGTAAATTGATCTGAAAACATCATAAAATCATTTTGCATGCTAAACACAGGATGAAAGGTAGCTATTGCTATTAGCTCCTATTTGTCATTTAATCTCTTAAAACCTCATTCAGACAGGAATTACAAACTAGACGCCTGATGGGCCAGACACTCATGTGTGGGGTGGCAGAATAATAGGGGTGTAAAATAGTCACCCCTATTATTGCTGCAGTGATGAACTTACTTGTTAAGAAAAGTCTGAAGGTGGCAGAGCCTCGAAAGCTCCTCTACCTGTTGCTATTTAGGAATGTGGGCGCTGTGGCTACACCATTCGACAGTCCAGATAAAGTGCAAAGTTCACATTCTTAAGTTAACTTAAATATTTTTGATGACAAAAAGTTGACTGAACAAACCAGTCTGGAATCTAGATCACTTCTAGCCTGGATCAAGCGATATTTGTAACCAGT